GGTGCTTTGAATCTGAACGCTCTTCGTCCGATGACTCTGGAGCTCTTGGTCTTATTACAAAGGAAGGATGGTCTAATTGTCTGAGAGAGTATTGTGATGAAAATACGCGAGGTTACGCACTGTGTTTGACCGCTATCCTGTGTCTTGCCTCTGACCAAAATATTTCCCAGCATGCAACGCCATGACGTCAGCTGAAACTCGCCTATTGTTGAAGGTAAGATGGACAGAAACGAAAAATACATTTAAAGATGAACTGAAACCAATGAAAGTGCGTTCTTGCATCAGGAAGTAACCAGTCCAGAGTTTCATACAGAATACAATGATGAGTGACATACGGACATTGCAAAATGAATCTACACAAACTATTGAAGGAGACATACAGAGGACGTAGGTGAGAGTCAGATGTATTTCGATAGATAATATCAGCATCATCAGTTATGGGTAATATTAGTTGCATAATTATTCATTTTCCATATGGAAAAGGTTTAGACAAATCATACACAATTTTAACATGTTTTATCTGAATCCTAAAAGATTTGTATATGACAGTGAAAACAGTTACAAGATCTTTGGTAAATATGTGCAACATGAAACATATAAAACTTTGTAACCTGCAAGAGCTGAACATGACACTAATCCCACACACAATCTCCTCACAAGTGTTGGACAAAGGTCATTTTTACCACAGAATCACAGAAAAACAAGTGAAATGATGATTTTTTTCCTTAAACTCGATTGCTGTGTTGTGTGTGTGAGAGTGAGAAAGAAAATGATCACAGTGTGTGTGTGTGCGTGTGTGTGTTTGTGTGTGTTTGTGTGTTTGTATGTGTGTTTATATGTGTATGTGTGTATTTGTATGTGTGTATGTGTGTATGTATGTGTGTGTGTGTGTGTGTTGGGCAGCATGGGTGTAAACACAGTAATGCAAATATTGCATTACAGTCTTAAAAAACATAAGACACACATTCTTCCACTGATATCACAGTGATTTTTACTCTGCAAAATCCTGTAGCCTCTTTCCGTGATGCCTCTTCAAGGTTGCTATTTGCTTGTGGGAGACCAAGGTACTTGTAAGTGTCCTCAACATCTGCTGTTGTTCCCTCCACAGGCAGCAGCTGGTGACCTCAACTGTTAAGTCACTGGACTGTCACATCGTAGACCTGGGTTCAAATCCCACTTCTGACTCAGATTTTGTTTTAGTTTTTTTTTGTTTTTTTTTACTGCAACATATAATTAAAGAACACAAACATTACATAGAGCATATAAAGAAAATGTAGTTGATCATGCACATTACCTGTAAATATCATGCAAAATGTTCACTTTATCTTTACTAGTTTTTCATAATATAGTTGTATGAGAAAAATACAAAAGGGGGACACTTTCAGGAGTAAACCACACATGACACATATTAACCTTATATAAAGATTTACTACAAAGACTGTGGTGAATTCTTGTATTTTTTTTCCTGTTTTTTTTTCCATATGGGTTCCTTACTGGTAGGGTGAAACACTTGTTTGTGTTTTAAATAAAAGTTCCATATGTGTGAATACATGCCCTCATTCCATTACATATGTTTTTAATACACACTTTTGTACTTGTGAGTGAAGTAAATACAAATACTAGTGAAAAATCATCAATAAGACAATCTGAGGCAGACAGGGTTAAGAATAATTCTGTGTAATAATACTGTGATGGTGGAAAAAACAGAATATGTCAAACACGTCTTCGTCTTCACACAAGTGTTTAGTGTTTATTCCATATGGGTGTAGTTGAGAAGTGTTTTCTCATAATCATTTACCACATTGTACCTGGTAAATGTTTTTATTATCTGTGCCATGTTATAAACCGAGTGCAAAATGACATGGATAAAGTCGGGAGCAGTGCACTTTTCATTCAAACTAACCCCGCCACAGATCATGTCTATGTCCGTTTATGATCCGTTTATTTCCAAAGAGATGGTGAGGCAGGTTAATACACAACTAAAACAAAAAAAAAAAACACGTGATTTGACTAACACCTTAACTTAAAAAGATCATTGATTTACCCTTCCACCTGCCGTCGAAAATAGCCGCACAAAAAAGCAACCGGATGCTAATAACTCTGGTGAAGAATCCAGAAGTTCACATTTTCTTGTGCCACTAATCCACTGTTTCCCAAAGACAGGGTTGTGACCCTCAGGTGGAGAATTTTTTGGGTCCCCTGGTCACGATCTAGCCAGGCCGGCGCTACCTAGTGCCTTGCCTCAATTTCATTTCTCTCCAGCGACTAGGTCAGGAATCAGAATACAGTAGACGGTTCACGAGTGAGGGGAGGATGGAGCGTGAGATTGTCAGGTGGCTCGGTGCAGCGTCTGCAGTGATGCGGTCGCTGTATCGGTGTTGTGGTGAAGAGGGAGCTGAGCCGAAAGGCGAAGCTCTCGATTTACCGGTCAGTCTACGTTCCCACCCTCACCTATGGTCATGAGCTCTGGGTAATGACCGAAAGGACAAGATCGCAGATACAAGCGCTCGAAATGAGTTTCCTCCGCAGGGTGGCTGGGCGCTCCCTTAGAGATAGGGTGAGGAGCTCAGTCACACGGGAGGAGCTCGGAGTAGAGCCGCTGCTCCTCCACATCGAGAGGAGCCAGTTGAGGTGGTTCGGGCATCTGTTCCGGATGCCTCCTGGGCGCCTCCCTCGAGAGGTGTTCTGGGCATGTCCCGCCGGGAGGAGACCCCGGGGAAGACCCAGGACACGCTTGGAGGGACTATGTCTCTGGGCTGGCCTGGGAACACCTCGGGGTCCTCCAGGAGCTGGAGGACGTGTCTGGGGTGAAGGAAGTCTGGGAGTCCCTGCTTAGACTGCTGCCCAGCCCTGAATAAGCGGAAGAAAATGGATGGATGGATGGTTCGCAAAAACCCCAGAAGTGTGAGTTCGGGCACCAGCCAATCAGTGAAGAGCCATATATTCTGTGTTGGCAACGATTCCCGAGATCAAGGATTTAAAGCCAGAATAAAGAGAATGTTTGGTGAATTTTATCAAGGGGAAAGACATTATTGTCCTTCTTCCTACGGGATTTGGGAAAAGCTTAATATACCATTTAGTCCTGTTAGTGGAGCATTACATAAGTCACGACCAAATAGCAGCGATTGGTTAAGTGATAAAAAGTACCCACCTACTGCTGAGTGAATTAATTCTAACAGTGCGAGGTCAGACGGTTTCCACAAAGTGAAAGCGGCTGATGAATCAGGCTAGTCATGATGTGTATGTAGGTCTGCAGTATACAGTTCTGCCACATGAGGGAGCGAGTGAGTCAGTGAGTTCTATCTGCTCTGAGCAAGTGTTTCTGCAGCTGAAGTTGAGAAATGTTCCTTGGTTGTCCAAAAAGAAGGTGATAAATCAGCGTCTGTGTCATCTGCAGCAAAAAACTGGCAAACGAGAATCTGAACAAATCTAGAAATTTAGAAATGCTGCATTCGATTTGGCCAATAAACCCTTCAACTTTTTGAAAGAAAAGCACAGGAGATTAAAACATCAGCAAACATTCTATGGAAAAACATCCCATTAAATGACAAAGCCCAACTCACCTCTTACATCCACTTTTATTTTGTGATTTACGAATAATGTTTATTGACTTGGGTCACGAAGGTTTGTGACTTTTAAAATATGGGTCCCCAGAAATTTTTTTTGGGGGGGAAATACTAGGGTGACCAAACGTCTGTTTTTCCCTGGACATGTCCGTATTTTGCATCCTGTCCTGGGCGTCCACGTTTTATTTTTTTTAAGTGATGGAAATGTCAGAGTTTTCATTTCCTTTCATTAGGGGCATTAAATTGAGCATCTCTCGTAGCGTCTGTGACTCAGAAGGAGCGAGACACAGACAGTCGGTCAGTCTGCAACATACTGAAGAACAAATGCGCATTTAACAATGACTTGTACAAGAAATTAAACTCCGTTTTCCATCCCGGTCGAGAAAAGTGGGAGTCCATGTGCACAGGTTGCGAGGTGAGAGTACAGTGTTCCCTTGTTTATCATGGGGGTTACGTTCTAAGAATAACCCGCAATAGGTGAAATCCACGAAGTAGCCAACTTTATATTTTATAATTATTATATCTGTTTTAAATTTGTAAAATCCCTCAGCACAAACTTTATACACTTTTTTCAGATAGGACAGTTACAATCCTTTTTTCATCCTCCTTAAAACTTATAGCTGTTGTTGTTCTTTTATTATTTTCCTCCTTCTTTATGTAACGAACCAAAGATTCATTTATTCCGTAATAGAGCCCTACAGCGCACAGTCCTGCACGGCTCCATTTTTGGAGACCCGCAGTACAACACCACACCCGCCCCTTAACCCGTGATTATATCAAGATTTTGCGCTGCCTATGCCACGGACTGAACTAAGACTAAACCAGGACTAACCCAGGAATGATTCCAGGACTGAAGAGGAGGACTAAACCAGGACTAAACCAGGACTAAACCAGGACTGAAACAGGACTGAAACAGGACTCACTGTTGGGACGGGCTCGGAGGTGACCGCAGGAGAAAGGACCGACTCAGCTCCGCACCTCACGAAGGTAAACGCAGCAATTGCCCGATCATGCTTTGCGGACACCCTGCTCGGGGTTCTCTCTCTTAATCTCTCTCTTAATCTTCAAGATTAGTCCTGGTTTAGACCTAGTTTAGTCCTGACCCACCTGTGTGTAAAAAAAAAATAAATTAAAAAATCTGCGAAACGGCGAGACCATGAAAAGTGAGGGACGACTGTAGCTCAATGCCGAGGCCCCACCTCCCACCCCCGGTAAGGTGTCTGGGTTTTCACAAATGGAAATATGGTCACCTTATGAAATGCTGCACCAGTCTATTGTGAGCTCAACTGCAAGGATTAGTGTTTTGATATCACACAGGAGCTACATTGATAATGTGATTTATGTTTGTTCTAACATTTAAAATCACTGATGACAGCTGTACTAACCAACACAACACATCTTATCTGAAATACATTGAGACAAAACACACTTCCATGTCGTTTCCTAGTCACTTTATTCAAATAAATAACAAGTCCCAGGCCACAGCACAAACACACAGACGGATACACATTCAGTACATCATATGTTCATACAGTATGTACACTTGCAGTAGATCATATGTTCACATGTACAGGAGCAGTAGTCCAGACGCAGATACACAGATAGAAGTACATCACATAGAGAGAGGATGTGTCCAAATATGGACAGGGGCGGGGCCAGGGATGTTCTTTCACAGTTATCGATCTGAGGGAAGCTTACTTGAGCTGTTGTGACACTATTTTTATACCACACGGATCAGTTACATTAGAGCGGCAGAAATATCAGACCATTCGATTGTGTGCATGTGGATGATTCTAACGGCTCCAGTCGAGTGTGTCGCCGGTGAAGCCACATAGAGCAGAAGTTTGAAATTTGACCTCTGCGTTTGACCCATCCTATGCTGGGGACCCATCTCCAGGCCCAGATCTTGGTGAGGTTAGGAGCACCTGGCTGGAGGATTGGCATATTGATGAAAGTGTAAACCCACCCAGACACAGGAAGAACATGCAAACTCCACACCATTTTAGCACTAATTTCCACTTTGCCAGAAATAAATAGAAAAAGTCAGAGAAATAAGAGGTCCTACATAAGACAAAACTGACTCTTGTGAGCTTTAAGTCATGTTAAAATGTTACTACCTTGTTAAAAATATACCTGAAGTTGTGTTTGCTTCATTCACACGTCTGTCTACATTTCCAAAGCTCAAAATGCTGTTCCACCTTGTGATGTCATGTATTGAGAGTTTTTAAGTTGACAGTTAATTGTACCTTTATTTCAGTAGTGATTGCCAATTCCAGCTCTGAAATCATCCAAATGATTTTAGTGAATGTGTATGAAATATAAAAGCACAACGGAGCACTTCCTGTATCACCACATGACATCACAAGGTGGAGCAGAGTGTTTTCTGTTTCAGAGAAGAACTCATCTTAATGTGCAGGGTTTGTGTGTTCAATACGGAAGCTGAGAGGGGTCACAACAAAGGCAAACGCCGCCACAAACACAAATACGACAACACAACATAAAGCCACAACACAACAAAAAAAGCCACAACGGAAATGACCGCGGGACTCTATTTTAATGCAAACACCGCAACAAATACAAACACCACAACACAAACGCAAATGCAACAACACATTAAAAAGCTACAATGGAAGTGACTGCGGGACTCTATTTTCCGACAGACCGATCAAGCGGCAAGTGAAGAAGAAGAACTACAATGTGAAAAGTAAAGGAACGGAGAAGTTGGAAATGCAAGTAAAAGTAATTTATTGTTTTATCATTATTCGTTTCATGTTGTAGTTCTTCTTCTTCACTTGCTGCTTGATCGGTCCGTCTGAAAATAGAGTCCCGCCGTCACTTCCGTTGTGGCTTTTTAATGTGTTGTGACTTTGTAATGTGTTGTCGCATTTGTGTTTGTGTTGTGGCGTTTGTATTTGTTGCGGCGTTTGCATTAAAATAGAGTCCCGCTGTCATTTCCGTTGTGGCTTTTTTTGGTGTGTTGTGGCTTTTTGTTGTGTTGTCGCATTTGTATTTGTTGCAGCGTTTGCGTTTGTTGTGACCCCTGTCGGCTTCTGTAGTTAAATACGTGTGAATGAAACAAAACACAACTCCAGGTCTGTTTGTGAGGAGGAAACTACATTAGAACATAAATCTGAAATAACTTTTTTCAGATGTTTAAAAACGTTTTTGGGAAGTAAAATTACTTGGACACCATCGCTCAAAATACTTTAAAAAGCAATAACCAAGATCAAATATACTCATAATTACAAAAAACAATACAATAATTTACCCAGTATCACCCGCGCCCCTCCCATCCTCTCTCATCTGCACAGACATATACAGCAGTCTGACATCACAGTAAGGACAGCAGCCATTGGTTCATAACTCAGTGTAAACGTCCCAGCGAACAGCAGCCATTGGTCCAGACAGGTCCATGCGTTTGAACGGGGTGCAGCAGTAGTATCCTTTCAGTGCAGTTCTACAGGACAGCTCTGAGTCTGTGCGAGAGGCAGCATGTGATGGAGAGATGGTGTCACTTTTTAATTCAATCTTTTTTTTCTTCTGTTTCACTATTTTGGTTAAACTTGCATTCACACCTGAAGTTAACAAGTCTGGAAACAGGACAGAATAAAGTGCCTGTGTGTACTTTAAAGAGACGGATTTCAGCTGCTGATGGTCCAGTGGTGTTTGAACGTCCAAGCATAGCATATTAGTCCTTATCTTGCAAAAACATGCACTCTTACAAAGAATGGGGTCACCTCTCCACAGATCTGACTAGTAACTTGGCCTGGTGGTGTCACTTCTTAAAGTCAGACAGGTTTAACGCGAAACAACTGGTGGTTTTCAGATTGTAGAAAGTGATGATGTCATTCTCACATTCGGGGACAAGAGTTGAACCTGATCATTTTTATTAGTGACTAAACCCATGACCTCAGTGTACAACATCCCAAATCTGCATTTGAACTGCCTGAATTTGAACCGCCCCCATTTGTATTAAATATTATTTGTCAGTAGAATGTTGGGATGTTCTCTGAAACACAAAAGAAGGAAAAAAAATTCAGATAACAACTTAATATTCTATTGGCCAATAATATTTAATCCGCCTGGGAAAAGTTAAACTAAATATAGTTAAAACACTTTTTTTTTCTTGTTTTAAGCTTGTGGATATTTCACACAAAGTAGAGTGTAATCAATGTGTAAAACTGTCTCTCACCCCCTGCCCCATGACGTCACATTCTAGAATGTGTAAAGCACCAACAGTATATTCATGGGTTAGTCAAGGCTATGGCAACAGTCCACCGCAGTCAGAGCAATTAAGCAATTCAAGTCAAAAGATTATCTCTTTTGAATGGGGAAAGGTCCTCGGGACTCCCTAAAAACATGACATTTTGTCCGGGGGCGGGACTTAACATTCTATTGCAACCATGACAACCAACTTTAAACAGTGTTTTCCTATTCACCTGAGCTGCCAAGGCTAAAAACAGACTTTTGACAAAACAAAGAAGAATTTAGACCTAAAACTGTACCAAAAACAAAGTTAAACCAATCAACATCAACTTTGCATTAATGATTACACTGCTGTGTTGATTTTCGTCTTATATGTTTTCACATCAGGTTAAGGTTCAGGTTAGGATTAGGGTTAGGTTTAGGTTTAGGAACAGGCAAATTTCAGGTTTTTGGTAAAATCTGTTTACCTGGGTCTGGGCAAAACTGAGCTGTAATGTTTACACAAAAGAAAATGATAAATAATTAAAGATCTTGACTGTGTTTAACTGATCTCAAAATGTCACTGAACATTATTATCTTAAAATGATCTGCAATTCCATCTGCTGATTAAGAAGTCAACACTCTCTCCCGGGAGCACACAGCACACTGCAGTTTAGCTTTTGTTTTGACATGGAACACTAAGCCCCGCCCTTGGACAAAATAGTCAGAATTTAGAAAGTTCCAAAGTCCTTCAAATCAGGAAGGAACCATTTGTCTGAAAGCCCTGAATACATGGAGAGGTGGTGGCAGACCCTCCATTAGAACAGTTACACAAAAGCACCTTTAAGTAATGCAGTTTTACATGTGTCTGTCGAAATTGAACTTGGTATGAAAAGCACTGCATTGTTCTCTTTAAATCACTCCAGAAACATTGCTAGCTCCAGGTGTGAACAGCCAAACATCTCCTCTGGTTCCTGTGGTTTGTCTCCCCTTCAGTCCAGTGCAGTGCTAACAGTAGAGTGACATGCGACTGCGCCTCATGGCCTCACTGATCAGGTACGCCGGGCTGACCTCAGGCTCTTCCGTCATCACCGCGATGCTCTGCCACTCTCCGCTTTGATTGGACTTCTTGATGGTGTCCACCACGCACAGAGCATACAGGCAGTCCTCAAACGTCGCTGCCATAGTCAGAGGCCTCCCATCCCACGTCCTACGATCATCCTGGTCCTGGAATGCCTCCCGGACCGCTTGGATCATCCGAATTGTCCCGATCAGATACGGCGTGGGAATATCGCTGAACGCCTTCTCCGGTAGTGCAGACTTTTCCAGAGGCGTGGAGTCTTTGAGCAAAAGTTCAGGTCCGCCCACGTTCTTCTGTCCGTACAAGTCGGTGCCGGTCACTGTTAGCCGACCGACCGTTCCTACAACAATGACCTCTTGGCGAAACTCTCCAGGGACGTTGAAGTTCAGCGTTACCGTGCAACAGGCTCCGCCCTCCAGCGCCATTTGGAAGGTGCAGAAGTCATCACTGGTGATCTGGCGGATGCCGCGGATGTGGGCGGTCTGCTTGACGAAGGTCTTGAGGAAGCCGTGGACCTTGATGGCACGCTGACCGGTCAGAAAGGTCAAGAGGTCGATGATGTAACTGCCCACCGAGTGCAGGCCGCCTCCTCCCATCAGGTCGTCACAGCTCCAGTTGTATTTCTTACCCAGCAGGCTCCCACTGTGCACCTGGAGACAAGGTAGAGGATCAGAGGAGGTCATAAGACATCAAATAATCTAACATTGTACAAAGGCAAGAAAATTAAACATTAGGTGGAGTGCAGACTGAAATTCTACTACAAAAAATAGAAATAAAAAAAGAGTTAGAATGTAAATACACACTAAAATCGTGATGAAGCTTTTTTTTTATTGAGTAACTGTAAAATGCATGTACCATATTTTCCAGGCTATTAGGGGCTCTGCATTAAATGGGTTATCTTCGAACTTTTTTCACAAATAACCCTCTGAGGCTCAAATTAAGTTTTTGTAACAGGAAAAAATCTGATATTTGGGGAAAATATCTTATAGGGTAGTAATATACAATCCTGACTTTTTTTGACTCACATGCAATGCGTTCTGGGATGTTGCAGATTTGCAGCATTGGCCCACTGTGGTAAATTAACACTGAAGATTGAAAATGATATGAACTAGGGATGGGCATGATTAGTTGATTAATCGATAATTGATCATTAAGAATTTCGTTCATTTTAATCGACAAACCGAATGTAGGTTGCTGTGTGTAGTGTGACCAAACAGGTCTGTACATGTGTCTCTGCATCAGAAGGAGCGAGACACAAACACAGTCGGTCAGTCTGCAACGTGCTGAAGTGCAAATGCAAACGATGTGCAACGATGATTTGTACAAGAAATTCCACGCTTTCCGTTCGGTACAAGTGTGAGTCCTTGTGCACAGTGTACAAAGCAGCACATATATTTTGGTGTCCAGTGGGAAAAAGTTTTGCCAGGTGAGAGTCGCTCACTGTCGATGACGAGTCCCCACCTCCCTCCGCCCGTACGCTGTCCTGGTTTTGACAAACGCAAATCTGATCACACTAACCTGTATTCACCTGAGTCATGTCTTTTAATCCGACAGAAGTTGACCGCATCAGCGACACAAGAGCTGTTTTTTTTATTTTTTTATCTTCACTTAGTTTATGCAAATGTGGTTTTAAGTTTTGTTTCTGTGAAAATTGCGCAAAACTGAATTAAACACATGATAATGTCAAACGGGCTGATGTGGCTCTAGAGTGGTTACGGTTTATATGTCGTAATGTTGAATTTATTTATGCAGATTAGTAGTGCAGATAGTAATAATAATGATGATCATTTTAATATAAAACGTTAATGATTAATCAATAATCGATCGTTAATTCTTCCGACGATCGATTAAGAAAATTTCATCGAATGCCCAACCCTAATATGAACGCTAACGCTAACGCTGTGTTCACCACTTTTCATAACAATGAAAACATAAAGCACAGTGTAACAGCTTTACAGTGGCAGAAGAACATTTTCGTGTGGTGCCCCAACAAACTATTTTTATCCTCTGTAAAGCACAAAAGTACTTTGCACTTTTGGCAGGCTGTTTGCGTGTAGCCATTCTTGAACGGTCTGCATCGTCCACGTTTATCAGCATGGATGGGAAAAAAGACTCCTGAGTAAAAAAGGCTCATAAAATATGGATGTGGAGTAAGTAGGTAATTGGCATTTAGCTGTTGCAAATCTGCAACATCTGCCTGGAGAGGAATAAACCGCACCGGACTTTAAAGGAAACACAACAGTGTGATGGGTGAGTGGTTTTGTTTGTTTTTGGCGTTCACAGTGACTCTGGGCTTTGTTCAGTTGTGGCGTGTAGGGAGGGTGTGTCTGGGACGCTGGATTGTCGGCGTGTTCACAGTGACTCAGTTGTTCAGTTGTGTCTACAAGTGGCACGTTGCACTCGCTTTTTCGGTTCGTTCCTCTGTTCCGTTCCTCGTCTGTGTGGAGTGATGAGTGTGTCTGTGGGTGTGTTTCGCTGTGCGGTCACTGTCTCCGTGTGTGTTTGTGTTTTGGTGTGGCTTTGTAGTTTACTGAAGTCGAGCTGGGACACCTGAGTGGATTCGTGTATGGGGCGCTCTGGATTGTGAGGCGTGCGGTCATTTTTTGATGGGGTTGGAGGCTTAAGAGCGCACCTAATAGCCCGGAAAATACGGTAATGCAGACTTCCATAAACAACCACAGACTGTATAAAAAGTGGACTGAGTGAGTGTGACCCATTGCGTTCAGCTCCAGTCAAATGAAGCTCATCGAGGCTCGCAGTTACAGGGGTAAATTTGGAACAGGGTTTCATATTTGGAATTCTAACTGCAAGTATCACAGCAACCAAAGAGCCAATCAGGAGCGAGACTGTTGAATGTAAGTGCACGCTCAACGCTCAACCAGCAGTGTGGGCGCTTTGCAACACTGTCAATCAACCTGCTCCTAACACTGGCAGGAGCAGCTTCAGTGGAGGCCATCTGATTTGTCTGTTATTAATGTTCATTTCTTCATTTACGGACCAGAATGACCAAAGTGATGAGGCTTGGGTACAGAGAGAGGTGACGTTTTTTCAGTAAAAAGCGAATTGAAGCCAGAGTTGATGGAGCCAGAAGCGTGTCCATACTCATGTTCACTATTTCGAACATGGTGGCTAGCGGGTTATCCATGTCCATTTATACATACAGCCAATGTTTACAACCAAATGATAAATATCCAGCTTAGTGTCAAAGCATCTGGTCCAGCAGGGGGCAGCAGTGTCTGAGTCATGGTGCTGACAGAAGACTGCATCACTAAATTAAAAAAAAAAAACATTCTCTGATTTGGCTGAACATTGTAAGTGCAAATAAATATATATTGAGCTGTTATGTTATATTAGGAATGTATTAAAAATGTGATTATAATTGATACTAATAAACTATATCACATAAAATGAACTCCTGGGAGCTTTAAGACATGTTATAATTTTGTTGGCTCCTCGAAAACAGACCTGGAGTTGTGTTTAGTTTCATTTACACATGTTTGGGTAATCCTATTATTAGTCTGTTGGCATCCCCAAAGTTCAAAATGCTTGGGATGTCATGAAGAGATAGTTTTCAAGTGAACAGCTCCTTTTACCTTTAGTTCAGTAGATTTGCAATAGACCTTTTTCTCAAAGGACAGAAGTGTTGCACTGTAGGTTTGCTGAACTTCTGGTCAATGGTTTTCTGTGTCAAAATATCTATGTAAATGTCTAGCATATTCTCCAACAGCTTCATAAATCTGCCCCATCAGCAAATCTTCAACCAACAAACTCCACAAAGGATAAACATTCTAACTTGAACAATTTATCCACAACGATCAAGAGAAGAAAGAACAAAACCTAAAGGAAACAACGACCACACACTAGTGACACACTGAACTAAACTCATGTTATGATCATGAATAATGTAAGTAATAAGTAATTCATTAATAAGTAACTTGTGAACTCAGACTGATTCTAGAATTTAAAAAAATTATTTCATGATGTAAATATTTGCATAGACCAGGGGTGTCAAACATCCGGCCCTGCAACACCTTTAATCTGGCCCACGTCAGATTTTCTACTAAAATATTTAAATTATATTTTCTATTAAAATACTGGTCATTTTCTGTGGTGTTTATCACAGCAGCGTCTCCAGCGTCTCTGTGCGTGGCCCCTCCCACCAGAGCAGCACAAATGAAGACTTGTCTCTTTCCAAATGTCCAAAAGACGATTGTTTTGACTGTTGACCGTGACACCCTCATCAGAAAAATGTCATAAATGAGAAAAGTGGAGCCGAGTGCAGGAATTTCCAAGAAAAATTATTCCTATTTGCAAACAAGTTCATGTTAAAATGTTGTGTTGAAATTGCATTTTTCTTAAAGTTTCAGGCTGTTCATAATATTATAATATTTTGTAAAAGAAATAGTTCATCAATTAAAAAAGATTTCTGTAATAGATTTGAATTTCTCTTTGAACTTATAGTTATTTTTGGGGTTTATATGCCATGAGTTTTCTGATCCAGCCCCTTTGGGATCAAAGTCGGTTGGATACGGCCCCCGAACCAAATTGAGTTTGACACCCCTGGCATAGACACAGAGATTTGAGCAGATCAAAAACTACAGATGTTCACATGTCTCACATCTAAACTGCACAAATCTCTGTCTATGCAAATATCTACATCATTAAATCGATTTTTAATTTTAATTCTAGAATCAGTCTGAGTGAACAAGTTTCTTCTGTTTTATTCATGATCATAACATGAGTTTAGTTCAGTGTGTCACTAGTGTGTGGTCGTTGTTTCCTTTAAGTTTTGTTCTTTCTTCTCTTGATCGTTGTGGATAAATTGTTCATGTTAGAATGTTTATCCTTTGTGGAGTTTGTTGGTTGAAGATTTGGTGATGGGGCAGATTTATGAAGCTGCTGGAGAAGACGACACACATGTACACACACATTTACACACACATTTACACACATTTACACACACATTTACACACATTTACACACACATTTACGCACACATTTACACACACATTTTGCCACAGAAAAACATTAACTGGAAGTTCCACTGGCACCTCAGCCATTGTGAAAAAGGTCAATTCCGAAGCTGAAATGATCCAAATGATTCTTGTGAAAGTGTGTGGAGTTTAAAAATACAGTGGAGCACTTTTTGAATTACCAAATGACATCATAAGGTGGAACAGAGTGTTTTCTGTTTGAGAGAAGAACTCAGCCTAAATATGCAGTTTGTGTGTTAAACATGTGTGAATGAAACAAAACACAACTCCAGGTCTGTGTGTGATGACGAAATAGTACTCTGGGCCTTTTCACATTTCCTATCAGTGTGTGCTGTGTGTTGTTTGATGCACAAAGGTGAAAAGTGTGAGCCAATGAGCAAACACGTCCAGCTTCACATCTCCCTTTAACCTGCAGGGAACACTGAAAATTTAGGTGTGCAAACATGAAAACCTGGATATTTTATGTGTTAGAATGTCCTCAAAATGGCCCCTAGAACAAGAAACCAATAAAAAAAGTAGATCCGTGTCTGCGGCGGAACAGATCACCCACCTGAGCCTCGCACACCAGCAGCTCGCCCACGTATCCCTCCTCCACCAGCTCCTTCATGCGTACGAAGGCGGGCAGGAAGCGCAGCACGTTTCCCATGATGCTCAGCAGTTTGGGGTAATACTGTGCCGCTGACATCATCCTGAAGGCGTCGAGCGGGGTGGCGGTGCGGTCGCAGATCACGTTCTTGCCAATACCTGAGTATAAAAGACAGGAAGTGTGTTAGGACAGAGGACAGTGCTTTTTATAATCAGCTTCTATTGGATTTTCATGTTTAAAGATCCTATATTACACAAAACTGACTCTTGTGAGCTTTAAGTCATGTTATAATGTTTTTACTAGTGATGTGGAGATGAAGTCCCCTGAAGCATTGAAGCGTTCCAGCCATTTGCTCGACTCTTGAGCCGATGCTTCAAGGTGCTTCATTTGCTCCACTGTCCCATCAAGAGGCCAAAAAAAAAGTATAACAGGCAGCGTGACAATAAAACAATCAACATGATCATCAAGGTTCTGATGGAAAGATTTATACTGAATAAAAGAACGATTAAATATTTGAATGTTTGTGATTTCAACATAAAGTGTGAATATATAAATCTGGAGTCTGTGTTCATGATATAACAGTTGGGTTAAAAGAAGGAACAAATTGGAGATCAGGATGTAATGTGACTGTGCTTCTGTTACTACTTTATATCTGTGCTTATGCCACAAAAAGGATATATAAGGAATAAGGAATTTCCCCTGCTTTTGAAAAAAAAAAAAAAAAAAACGTTCACAGCGCACAGATGAAACAGGCGTGTTCCATCGCAAAAAAATAATAAAAAGAATCTCAAATAGACCAAACTTGCAGTAACCCAAAACCACAAAATGTTTCAGGTGAATCCGCTGCGTTTCTTTGGTCCTTATGTTTCGAATCGCGACAAATCTGCGAACCACTTCCTGAACCAGTCACGTGGTACGGTTCACGAGGCTTCAGACGTCATCACATACGTCACTGATACAAACCTCGATATGCACTTCACCAAAGACTTCCTGGATTACTCGACACACGCTTCGAAGCCCCAGCACATCTCGTAACATCACTAGTTTTTACCTCCTTAAAAACAGACTTGGAGTTGTGTTTTATTTCATACACACATTTGAGTAATCCTTTATTTAGAGTGACCAGATGTCTCTATTTATCGTATTTTTCAGACTAGAAGTGTCACTTTTTTCATGATTTGGGTGTTTCCTGCGACTTATACTCCGGTGTGACTTATATATTAACATGTTGACACTGAAGCGGTGAGAGGTTCTAGTCTTGTGTGTCAGTATCTGCTGCTCCTGTTCCTCCTGTACCACTGTCACTTGGCTCTACTGCACATGTCTCCTGCAGAAAGAGCCTCTGTTCTGTCTGTATCATGTCAGTGGATCACACCATTACTTCTGCACTACTGAACAATTTAACATTTAAACAAACTTATAAAGACACTGAGAAGACTGAACACAAATGTCCCCAAAAAGAAAATCAGATTTTGTTTGTTTGAAGATGGCTTTGGATTAATGAAACAATGTGAAAGATTATAAGATGCAAGTCGTGAAATCTGCAGCTGAAAACAGAAATCGTGCAGCAGAAAGAAAGTTTGGAGTGAGAAACATATGACACCAGGAGGATGCACCATGAAACTTTCCTGAAGTCACTGGATGGATGGACAAAGCCTGGACTTCAGTGACACCGAAACCATCCTGTCGAGATTCAGAAAGACCCGAATAATTCTAACTGGAACTGATACTGAGTCTGACGATAGCGACACAGAAGAGGAAGCAGCGCTCTGTTTACCTCCGGAGGCTCAGAAGTGACACGAAGGATGAAGAATTGAATGGATTTAGTGATTTGGAGTGAGATGGAGAGTTTGGTTAAACTTGTTCTGTTGTTGTTTATGTTATAGTTTATCTGAAGAACTGTTCATATGTGACGTTAACAGTCTCTCTTCTATTCTTATTACTAGAAAACTGACTTTACACAGGAAATGTCAGTTCTTGGTCTCTGATTTTATAAAATATATTTCCCCAAAAAAGTGCGATTTATAATCCAGTGTGATTTATGTTTATTTTCTTCCTTATTATGCATTTTGTGGCTGGAGCGACTCATAGTCCAAAAAATATGGTACCCGGGACAGTCCCAGTTTTGAGCCCCTGTGTCCCCTGTCCCAACAGATTTTTTTTTTTTTCATTCATGAAAGATAAATTCAAAATAATTATGTTTCATGCATCAATGTGAATGAAAAGGAGTTGTAATATTATATATAATAAAATATATAATAATATGTATACTTGTAATATCTGCTCCTTTCACACAAAGTAAAACATAAAGTAAAGTAAAACAAAACACTTCAACTGTTCCAACTACATTTATAAGCCACTTATTTACGTGACATACATAATATTAAATACTTGTTAATAAACACAAAAGGACAGTTCATACATCATACTTTTTTTTAGCATATCATGTTTCACATTACCTTTAAACACTTGAGCAGATTTTTAAGTTTTTTTCATTTAGACTGTTCCATAAGCTCACACCTTTGATTTTTCCAGTGTTGTTGTTCTGAACCTGGGTTTTTTAAAGATTTCAATTCCTTTCAAATTATAAGGACTTTCTCTCTTTGTAAATTTTCTTTGGAGGTTGGTGGGCAAGATCTGCTGCTGATTTGCTTTATAATTTTTGGGTTTTTTTTAAACGATTTATCCAAAACCAGTAATTTGTCCCAGTTTTATGGAAGAAATGTCCCAGGTGTCCCTATTTTGGACCTATCTGATCCCTGCCAACAGTAAAGAGAGACATACATTGTCATTTGTTTAGGTAAAATACAGAAAAGCTGCTTAAAAACGACTAAAACACAAAGAAAGGGACTATACTGACTCGAATGTTTGTCATGAATGGGCCGAGTGCAGAATGATTTTCCTTAATTACGCACTTGTTTCAGAATTTTAATATTACCATCACCACAAACCGATGGTGTCCCAGGTTTGGATTTTGAAAATCCGGTCACCCTACCTTATTATTATTAGTCTGTCTACATCTCCAAAGCTCAAATTGCTCTGCTCCACCTTGTGATGTCATGAAGTGGTAGTTTTCATGTGAACAGCTCCTTTTACGTTTAGTTTAGTAGAGAAATTACAGAGTTGAAATTATCCAACTGATTCTAGTGAAGGTGTATGGAGTTTAAAACACAGTGGAGCACTTCCTGTATCACCACATGACATCACAAGGTGGAACAGAGTGTTTTCAGTTTGAGAGAAGAACTCAGGCTAAATCTGTGTGAATGAAACAAAACACAACTCCAGGTCTGTTTGTGATGAGGAAACAACATCACAGAGATCAGAAAATAATGTGATATGGACCTTTAAGCTATTAAAAAATAATAAATATTTAAATTACGACAAAGAGGAAATATGGATTCACAAAGACTCCTATAGGAACAGTAAAACCCCCCACACATCAGAGGGTGAGTGCTCCGACAGCCCCCCCCCGTGTGTCGGTTGAGCGGGGGGGCTGTTTGGGGAGTGAAATGTATGCTAATGGACTATTAGCTGCAGCCAGACCAGGAAACAAATCCCACTGACCCAGATCCAAGGAGCGCTCAGGGACCCCCCGGGCCATCCCACCCCAGACACGAGCCCCCTCCCCGGGCACGCACACTCTGCCACGGGGGGTCTCTTCTGGAGGGGGGTTGTTTTGGCTCCACGCTGAGTTTGGGACATAAACAGTTCCTCACAAACAGATTGGAGCACATTTGTTGAGCTGTCGTTGGTGCCCCACAGACGCACAATGGGCTTTGAGTGTGGCTCGGTGCTAGAGCTGCAGCGCATGTGCTTCCATCATTCCTCTGCTTAAACTAGATCCTCTTAAACAGATTCAGAAAAGAACAAAATTAAACTAAATGCTCTAGCAGTGGTTTTCAGACTTTTTATGCCCACCACAAGAAAAGATTTGGCTTCCAGAGTATCATCAGATCTAAACCAGGTCTATACTAGGACTTTCAAGTCTAAATTTGGCCTAAACCAGGTCTAAAATAAGACTAAATCCTAAAGTACAGAACATCCTACAGTAGAAAGACCAAAAAGTGGATAGGACTGAGTCTGACTGACTGTGTACATATATACACACTATATATGCCACGTAATGTATATATGTGTTGTGCTGTGTATATGCATATATGAATAGGTGTGTATATGTATGTGTATATATATATGTGTGTATATATATATGTATGGGTATATCTCTCTCTCTCTCTCTCTCTCTCTCTCTCTCTCTCTCTCTCTCTCTCTATATATATATATATATATATATATATATATATATATATATATATACATATATGTGTGTGTGTTTTTATTTTGTATTTATTTATTTTCTTCTTTTCTTCTTTCTTTAATATTATTTATGTATTAATATTTATTTTTCTTTTCTCTGGAGACAGTGGGGGGGTGGGGTGAGTGGGTGGGGGAGGTAAAGGGCGGGGGGGGGGGGGGGTGAAAAAGGATGGTCACATTGTATTACTGTTAATTATATTATATTATTTATCTTTTCTTCTACTTCTGTGGCATCTGATTTGTGTGCACAAAAAAATAAATGAATAAAATAAATAAATAAAAAAGGACTGAGTCTGACTGTAAAATAAACAAATATTAACATAGCACCAGGAGAAGTGTGCAAATCATGCAACAATGTTACATCCTCTACAGCCTGAGAAACACTAAAGGTCAGTTTTGCATAATAATTCCTAATAATATAATATGTTCTTTATTATAAATGTAACAGAAACTGTATGAGGTTTCATAGAAAAGGCATTGTGTTTTAAAGTGGGAGCAATGTGAAGCATAAGAGTGAGTGTTTACAGGCCAAGGACTAAAGAATGACAGGAAAACACTCTGCTGTTCCCACTCCAGCAGTCTTAATAAAGACTCAACTGAACTGAACTCTGAGTACTCCAATACTGTGTACCAGTACTACTTTATACACAAATCTCTTTACTAGTATATCAACAATTATATGTTTTTTTTTAAGGATCAAGGATGCATCAATTCAACTTTTTCATTTCTGATACCGATATTGATACTATGACTTTAAGTATCATGCTCAGCATTAACAGACACCAGTGTAGACTTATTTTCTTAAAACAGTTAACTTATTGCACAAGAAATCCAATAGTGTTAT